AATTTCATTCTCGTACACTTGTTCCTTGATGAATTTGCGATTGCAATTGCAGTACAGTGTCGAAATATGCACGAATGACTGCGGAGTGGCAGGAGTGGCAGAATGGGGCGGGGGGAGAGGGTGTGGCATCATGTCGAATGTTGATTGAATTGTGTTGAAATTGTTTGCACGCCGCAGCCGTAAAAAACATGCAACAATAAAAAGCATTACAGTTAAATAAAAATAAACAGTTGTCAATATTAAAATTCATTCAAAAATATTTCTCATGCAGACATGCGAATTATGTATCTTGGTTACTTAAATGTGGTATGCGAATATGCAATTAAAAAATATTCCATAACAACCACAATCTGCAAATATTGACAGCATTCAGCTTTAAAAAGCAGGTAAAAGTCAATTCGCCTGTTAACGTATACGTTGCCAATACGCTCGATATTCGAAATTGAAAGTGGTTTATAGTTATGTCAATAGATGTAAGGCATTTTTAATTAATTGAAGGATATTTGTAATTAAGAACAAATTTCATTAAAATGCTTCATAAAATATTTTAAAATCAATCAAATTCGAAGTTAAGAGTGGATTTTCTAGTTGAGATAATATTCACAAATTACTTCAAACAGTATTGATCGAGCTTCGTACAAAATTGCATATTTTTCTTTATGTATAATATATATAATTTATAAAATTTGGCAGCTGAGCAACTAAATTTCGCAGCTAGACATTGCTTACCTTCAACTGCTTCATTTGCATAGCCAAGTCGAGTATCTTCTTGGTGCCCAGAACATTAATGTCAATAGCATCGCTTAGTTTTTCATTGAATTTCACCGAGGCGACCACATTGAAGACAATCTAACGGGTTAAAAAAATAAATAGGAAGTAAAGTAATACATATTAAAATTGAAAAATGTCAGCAACAACAAATGGAACATTTGAACAACAATAGGGCATGCAAAATGCATGAGAAGTGCATGCAAAAGAGAAGCGCTTGGTGGATGCGATGTTGGGTTTGTGTGCTCGTGTCCTGTTTGGCTGCATTCTGTGATAACCTCAAAGTCAGCATGAAAACAGGACGCAGGATGCAGGACGCAGGAGGAGACATGCAACTGCTGCATTGAACATCGACAACAAAGCAATTTTCGTTTTAAAACAGTGCTAGGACTAAGCGCTGCGAATCCTGCCGATTCTGCACCACATGGGAAGTGAGTGACTTGTATGCAAAATGTTTTGCAAACAGCAACAAAAAAAGAAAATACAGAAAAAAAAAACCAAAAAAAAAATACAAAATATAAAATAAAACTAAAACGCCAAACGGATGCGGCTGGCAGGACAATGGCTCGCGCACGCCAAACACTTGAAGCATGCACTGGAATTTTCATTTATTTATATATTGTTTTTTATAACCAGCAACAGCAGCAGCAGGAGTTTCAGGACTATCAGGAGCATGAGCAGCAGGAACACACATTTTCACAGCACTACGTGCTGGGTTTCAATTTTTGTTGAAAAGTACAAAATATATATTCTCCTGCCTTGGCTCTTCAACGTGTGAGTGTGTGTGTGTGTGTTTGTGTGTGTGTGTGTGAGGAGAAAAAATCATAAAAAGGAAATAAACCGACTGCATGCCTGTTGTCGTAAACATGGCGCCTGCCTTTGGCAGCCAACGCTACGTAGTGTAATGCACAAAGGACAAATGGACAGATAGTCAAACAGTCAGACAGATAAACAGACAGCAGTAGCGAGCCCTATCCAAATACACACACACACACACACACACACACACACACACACACTCACACACACAAAGTTTCACACAAAAGTCCATTGATTGAATTGCCAACAAAACTTCTCGGCTCGACTCTTCAAAACGGGTATGCTGGCAATGCCAATATAGTATGGATGTATGTGTGTGTGTGTACATGTTGCATACTCACTTGGACCTCAGACGAGAGCATTGCACGGTCGGCGGCATCGATGTCCAGGTCGATGGCACTGTAATCAGCGCGTATCGGATGCACCTTCTCCAACAACTCCGGCAACTCGTCGCGCATTGTATTGAATATCTGCAACAGAAGCAACAGCAGCAACAGCAGCAGCAGCAGCAGTTTGTTCATTGTTCAACAGTACAGAGTGAGGCAACAACTCATTTCCCCGGGATTGCTATTGACTTACCGACTCATTGAAGAATCCCCGCAAACGCTCCTGCACGCTCATGTTGTTCTTGCTGCGTATCAGCATATAAATTTTACGCAAACCAAAGGAGCGCAACAATTTTTCGGTTAGGACCTTGCCCACAAAACCCGTGCCGCCCGTAATGAGCACGGTCGCATCCCTATAGAAATCTGTCACGGGTGTTGTTGTCGGCATCGCCACCACACTATTACCAATCCCACCAGCGGCATCTGCATCGGTTGGCTTATTTGTACTGCTGCCAGTGCCACTGACAATGCAGTTGCCACTGCTCATTGTGGATGCCTCGCAGAACTCGGTGTTGCTGCCACTGCTGCGACGCGAAGAGCTGGTCGACGAGAATGCCTTGCGAGACGCTGCAATTGTTAACCGCGGGGAAGTTAAGTGGAGCGAATTTGCAACATGTGACTCATAGTTTGTATAGCATTTAAAGGTTGAAGGTTGCTTTACATAACTGACACAAATTCACTTTGAGACTTTGTCTACACACATTAATATTTACTATTTGCTTGCATAAAATAATTATTTAGTTAAAGATTAAAAGTCGCTGCTGTTAAGGGTGCTTTAATTAGTTGTTTAATTCATCCAAAAAATATTAAAAAATTATTATTATTATAAAATTAATTCCTATGCAAACAAATGAAAATCAGTTTTTCTTTAAAAATATTCATAAATGTATAATTATTTAATAATGTATACTTAACTTTCGATAAGTCCTGAAATAACAATTATCTGTCATTTCCAATAACTTTAACAATCAAGTTAGTTATCTAATACCTAAATATATTTATATGTTTTATTTTGAATTTACAATACACACCTTTATTGGTATTTACTTCATCCATTTTGCTTATGCGGTTAAATAAAAGTGAACCACTCAGTACCAAGGCAGAAAACATATTGAAAACCTGTATTAATTTCTTAAAAATATCACATATCCAGCGATGGGCAATCAATAACTGGCAGACACTGGCCCCCGAAGATTTTCCCACCAAATGTCAATTATTAAGCAGCAATACTAACCCAATTATTACTCTATATGTATATATATATATATATATATGTGTGTGTGTATGCAATGGATTGTGTGTGGTGTGTGTACTGTGTGTGTATTATAAGTGGTTTACTTGGAGAGTTATTCAACTAAATGCTTTTGAGGTCTCTGGCTGACATTGCGGTTGCAATTGACCTGCTGACCTGCACTATGCACACACACACACACATAAACACACACATTGACAGTGACAGTGACACCCCTTGTACATTTAGCGTCTGGCAGCGTGGCGCTAACTCAACTCAATCAACCCCCATGCAACCCCCTGCAGGACACACTTCTGTCGTTAGACGCTCTCTCACAGCCATTTTAAACATTGTTAATTATTCAATTATCAACAGCCAATGCGGCTTCTGCCTGCTGGTCAGCAACACAAGTGTCCATATATAAAATGGATGGAGGAAGTGAGAGAGAGAGAGAGAGAGAGAGAGAGAGAGAGAGAGAGTTTAAGCCGGCACGTTCATTTCCATGTGCATGTCCATTGCGTCAGTTCATTGCGTGTTGTGCACTGTGTATCTAACAGTGTGTGTGTGCGTGTGTGAGTGTCTGCGAATGTGTGTGGGTCTCAGAGTGTAGCATATGTTGTTTGATTTCATGTGGCATAAAAAGAAACGAACGAGGAGCAAGCCGCACATATGCCGAAGAGTATTGCCTTGTTTCTGTTGTCATATTTTGTTAGTCTTTGTTAATCAGAATGCCTGCGTGTCTTGGCCTCGCTATAAGGGTAGTTTAATAATAATGCAGGCGACTTTTAAATAAAACTTGTATCAACAAAATAAAATGTTTAAGATACTCTCAAATGGATTTGGTTCTTTTCTACCATGTACAAGTCCTAAAATATTTAAAAATTTATCATAAATATTTATGATTTTTTCATTTATTTATTTTTTACTAAACATAGAACCTATTTTACCCAAATAGTTATATACAAATATTTCTAGCATCTTACCACAATTCCCACCTCAAGAGCAAGCTCTAAAGTCGACATGCGTCACCCTGTAAGCCAAAGCTTTTTACTAATCATTGTTCACCTTAAAGCAAACGTTGAGCTTAACTCAGGTCATCTTCAGCTTTTCTGTTATTATTTCCGGTTTGCGTCTGCGCTATGCTTCAGACAAAAGCTTGCGTCTTAGCTTACGTCGCAAGCTATTCGTCTTGGCCAATTTACTTATGGCACAAGGTAGAACTTCTTATAGCTTTGACACCATTTCAAGCTTAAAAACTTGCTATAAATTGCAATTGACAGATCAAAGCTTTTGTTGACAGAGCTAGGTGTGAAATAATTCGCAGAACAAGTCACATGAAAATAATGGTTAAATGCATAATAATGATTTACGATATGAATTATGACTCATAATATTAATTGAGCTGTAATTAACAGTGCGCAGAGAATACCAATAAATAGATGTATATTTATTTGTTCGATTTGTGCAATGACACGAAATGTTTATTCTTCCATTGGTAATTTAATAAAATAATTACATTTATGCCAAAAATGCGCACACAAATATGTACATACAAATACATTGATATAATTAAAAGGATATTGCTTACGCACTAATTTAATAATTTATGTTTTAATGCTAGTTAATTGATTTGACGTGCCTATTTATAAATATACGCAAAGCTAAGCCGTTAAGTAACAAATAAGCTGGAATAAAAAGTACATTTACATTTAATTAACAAGTTTTGGATTTAATATTTCATTGATTTGATTTCAACGCCTATTCTAGACAAATATCCATTTAGATTACTAAAATAATTATTATAATTAAAGCTTAAATACGAAAACATGCAATAGTTGGCCATTTGGAATTTATGAAACCCATTTTGAATATATTTATATGTATAATTATAATACTGTACATGGCTTGCAGCTAAGGATAGTATGTACACACTGATATATATACACATACACAGAGACGCACACACGACGAGCACATAATTTGTAGCATTTCTAACACTCAACATCATTGTTTTTGTAATCACAATACATTTTTACGAAATCACAGACTTAGAGCCAATGCCCAAGCATTTCCCTTCTCTTCTCTGGGCAAATCTTACAGTGGCTGCCACAAAGTTTCGCATTCCGCCCCAATGCCGCAATCAGTTCCATTTCCGTTTCCTGTTCTCGTCGCCGGCTGCTTCACGCGGGATACTTCGCTGAGTATACAAGTTCTGTCGCATTCGGTGCGACTGCCAAATTCCTGTTCACAAATGCAACTCGAATTTTCTCGCGATTCGGCCTTCAGCAGTGCCAGCTGAACACCCGCTCCCGCACAACTGGAGGGCATATCCTCGCTGGTCGACGGCAGCTCCATGAGCGCCAAATCATCCTCGCACTCAACCACATTGGGATGCAGCGGCTTGAAATTATTGCGTCGCCACGGCGGCATGGTTGTGACCGCACTGCCAGCAAATGTCACCACTGTCTGATGTCCGTGTCCGTGATTATTATTGTAACTGGTGTTATCACTGCCATTGCCATTGGTATTGGCCTGATAGCCATTGCGACCAATATGCAAGCCAACCTTGCCATTTCCGCCCGTATTCCGTACACCAAAGAAATTGTTGCGTATACGCATCGATGAATTAGCATAGGTTGACCTCAAGGAACTGGCACGGGTGTGCATCGAAAATGTTCGTTCGTGTGGTTCCAAGCTGGTCTTGAATTTGCAGAAACAGGCCGAGAAGCGTTTGTTGAACTCCCGCTTAAACTTCTCCTGAAATATAAAAAAATAATCTATTTAGTATGCTTAATCAAAAGGACATTGCGCATATTATTTTAAAATTAATGGACATCACAAAAATACTTCAGATATCAATCATATATGGGATGAAATCGTATAGCCAAATTTAGACAATACCCTCAGTAATTCGTCGCTGGCAGTGTAGACAAGTAGCCGAAAAGTTGCTAATGAGTGTCGTGTTCTGATTATACTGCTTGTTGACAGATGCCAATCTGTCACTTAGGTTTATCAAGCAGCTCTTTCACCTTTCTCACCACCAACGGCCTAAGTGGCAACCATTTGAGACACACTCCCCCTCTTCGCCGCGCACACCACCCATGACATTTATAGACATCTGTCGGCAAAGTTGTGTCTGGCAACATCTTGGGTTTATAGGCCCACGCCCACACGTGAATAGATGCTAATATCTGCCGTGCCTTTGTTTGTTTGTCTCTTTATCGATTTTAGGTCCGTCGTCTTTTGCCCAACTTCGACAAAGAACTAAAATATTTGCGCTTTATGCCAGCGATTTACGGATTTTAGTATTGTGTGTGAACCTGACAGGATTTCTGTAGGTGCTTTCTATTCTCCTCTTTTCTTTTTCTGTTTTATTATGTACAGTGGAACGTGCTTCTAATTATCTAGAGTGGACAAAGTACGCATATTCAATTCATGGAATTTTGCAAATATAGACGGATCTATTTATAATAATAATCTAGAGGGGAATGTTATTGTTCAAGAATTGTGTAAAATTGTTGTACCAATTTAAATTAAGTCAACGTTGTCATGCATTTAAGTCCCGTTGCAGATAATTGAATAAAATATTTATTGTGACTATCAAAGGAATTCCTATCCAACAGATCAATCTAAAAAAATATACTATATACTTTCAGGTGCATGCACGGAGTGTTTACTGTACGGCATTTTTATGTGCCATCAATAAGTCTTAACTAAGCCAGAAACTTGATGGGCGGATCAGTAACAATCAAATAAATATACAGATGGGGAAATACATCAGCGATAAACAAGCGGAAACCACTTAATACTCACATTGTATATGCCATAAATAAAGGGATTATAGCAGCTATTGCTCATGGCCAGCCAGTCGCAGCAGAACCAAACGATGCTAATGAAATGATAGTCATTGATTTCCGGGATCGTCACATACAATATGTTGTAGAGCTGCAGCGGCAACCAGCACAGGCCAAAAATAACCACAACGATAATTAGCATTTTAATGACCTGCAAGTAAGACGATTGTAACATTACGGTAATTGAGCAGCTTACACACATTTAGCTGCAACAACAACAACAACAACAGCCACCCAACTAACCTTTTTCTTGTTCTTGAGCAGCGTAATGTCACGCGAGTCCTGCGCGTTGCCAGGTGCCCGTGTGCCCCACAATCGAACGGCCATTTGTATGTACACAAAACTAATGACGCAAAATGGCACCAGATATTGGACAAAAACTAAGGCATATCGATAGGCCTTCAGCTGCTCATCGGATAGGTTTTTGTTCATGCAAAACGGTCGAGTCAAATTAAAATAGACATCGTTTTCTGTGAATAAAGCATATACATACAGATATACACAGAGAAGAAATTAATTAATGACTTTCCACTTCATAGACTAAGCTGTATGCTTACCACGAAAACGGTCCGTTATCTCCTCCACACGAAAAGCAATTGGAAATGGTGCGGCAAACACAAAAGCCAGTATCCAAATTCCCGCAATTATGAATTTCGATATGAACTTGGTGGGACGTGCGCTGCAAGCAAAATATATGGAAATATAAATTATCACTCGTATTAATGAAACAAATTTCTATGCCATCAAGTCATCGAGAATGTTGTGTGGCTTACCGCAATGGATTAATTATGGCCCGATGGCGATCAATTGCAATGGCAGTCAGAGTAAAAACAGAGACATTCACGCTCAGCGCCTGCACAAATGGACAGAAGCCGCACATGAAATATGGCAGGTTCCAGCGTTGCAGCAGTGCTGCCTGAAACTAATATAAACAACAAAAAAATGATACATATGTAGATTAAATAATAGCTGGTACATGTGTATGATTAATCAAAATCCCGCCAGTAAATCAGCCAAAGCGCATCACAAATATCATTAAAGAGGAATTTCCGGTTACGCCGGCAATTGTCCAAAATAAATTGCCAAAATTGTGGGTTCGTGTCCATGTATGTATGTGTGTGTGTGTGTGTGTGTGTGTGTGTGGGTGTTTTTGTAGATGTGTAAATGAATGGTAAATGAATAGTTTGGTTTTCATTTGCGCTGACATGCTGAGGAGCACAAATTGTGGTCTTGTTCAGCGTTCAATTCATGCGGCTACGTTTCAATTTCCCAGTGGCGTAGTTGAGAAGGGTCTACAAATAATTAAAGCCACACTCTGTTGGTAACAAATGATTATGTGTTCTGACAGCAGCTGTCATTTAATTGTCCAGTTAATGAATATTTACTGCGCTGTGTGTGTGTGTCTGTATGTGAATTAAAGTGTGCCTGAGTGAGAATGCCTGTCCACACTTCAAGCCCAAAGATTAAGTGATATCGATTACTGACTAAGTGGCATGTATTAATTATATATAATATATTGAGTAGATATCAACCAACTGAGTGAGAAGACTTGAAACAGTGACTTAATAGCTGCCAAGTGTAGTTTAAAAACATCTTGGTGTATTATAACTGAATTTATTACAACTGAAAGTGCTTTTAGCCCAAAAGTCAAGTTTAGAGCATGTTTCTCATTTGAAATGCTATCCTTAATCAATAATGCATATGCACTTAAACTAGGCCTAGATTTCATATTCAGTTTGTGTGCCCAGATAATTCTCACTTCGAAATGCAAATCAAAATCAACAGAATCATGAAAATGACAGCGGCAATTGTCTCGCCTCTCGGCTAAGCTCATGAAATCATGATTTATCTGCTCACAGCAATTTTAATATTCAGTTGGAAATTACTTATGGCTTTTAGCACATTTTGGCTTGCATACGAAATGGTCTATGCCCATTAGCACTGGGTCCAATGATGATTATTCTATTATCAAAATTTTGTAGACAACTAGGCACCAGTCAGACCAGACAGCAGAGTAGACTAATATTAGCTGGATATCAGAGATACTGTCCATTCTCTAATCCGAATATTATGTAGAGTGGGCTGCAGAGGACGACAGTGTTTAAGCTCCGGAAATTAAATCGATGCCCGATTATAGTGACATCGAGGTTGTGGTTGTGTGTGTCGGAGTGCGTGTGTGCGTGCGTGTGCCTGTCACATAAACGGAATATTAACGTGCCGGCAACGGCAGCAGCAGCAACAGAAGTCAAAAATGAAACTGGGCTAATGCCATTAAACTGATTTATGTGCACAAAGTGTTAACAGCCAGTCGAATATCAGTGAAACTTAATTTATTGAATATATCCGACTGGACGGACGTACATTGCGTATACGCGTCTGTTTAATTAATGCAATACCCATTTAAATTTAAAACTTCAATTGGTATAATGAAAATGTTTTCAGCCATGACTAATTTGGTTTTTATCATCATTTACATAATTAGAAAACACACAAAAAAAAAAAAATTGCGAATGGGCGAATGGGAAAATTAATTTATTAAATTGCATTTAGAGCTAACCTGAAATGGTATGCTGAACAGCCCAATGATGACATCCGCAAACGCCAGATTTGCAATGTACATATTTGTAACGGTGCGCATCTGACGAGTGGTGGCAACAACCCAAATCACCAGCGTGTTGCCAATGACAGCCAGAATGCTAATGCCGCCATAAAAGATGGAAAGCAGCGCCACAATTTCCGCAGGTGCCGCATACAGGCGTTCTAGAATGACGAGATAAATATAAATAATAAGAGGCAATGCATAATTGAAATAATTTACGAGCTTTCCAAGTGACAGGGACGGTTTAATGGAAGCCAGTTGTCAGTTTGTAGTGACACTGTGTCATTTACATTTCCTTTACCATAATAAGATTTAATATTTGCATGTGAAAACGACGAAATTATTTACAAACGATAAATGGCGTCAGGCTGGCCAAGCGGATTGAGGCACTTAAAAAATTGCATTTTACTTTTCCAAGTTCGACAGCATGTCAAAAGACCTGTTAGCTTTGACAGGCACGTAATAAATCCTCGTTCAATTGAGTTATATAGTTCCCGGTAAAGAACAATAAACAAAAACATTAAGAACGCTTACGGTTTGTTTTATTCTTTATCTAGATTAAACTATGGAAACTTGTAAGTCTCTTTCTTTAATGAGGAAAGTTTTGACTCGAGCAAGCAAATAAGCATATTTTAAGTAAAATATAAAAGTTACAACATAACAACCACTAAAAAACAAACATGATTAATAATCATCTGCACTCAAAGTTTATAAATTATGTATTAGTCCGTTAGCAGGTGTCTTGGAAAAAATTAAGTGATATTAAATTTAAGTGAGTTGGCTTTCAGGCTTACCAAATTCGGCTTCTTCCTCGGCGCCAGGCAACAGCTCCTCATGTAAATGTTGCTCATATATTATATCAGGTTCCATGCTGTTTTTGTTGTGTAATTATTAATATTATTTCACTTGAATTCCCAGTAGATAAAGTGGCTGTGATTTATTTAGGCTTAATCAAAAAATGCTTCTTGCTTAACGCGATTTTATTTATATGGCATAATGCATTTTAATGCTGGCTGCAAATAGATAACACAAAACAAATATATGAGATGAGAAATCAAACGAGAAAAGTTAAATTGGCAAACTAATTTGAAACAAAATACAATTTCAAAAACAATTTTCATTGGCTCAATAATCAAAAAAAGAGCTTTAGGCTATAATTATATTGAATTCCTTCAAACTAATTTGAAACTGCAGTAATTCATAGATAATTGCATTCAGCATGCTGCAGTATCAAAAACAGCTACTAGCAAAGTGTCATGAGTTATGGACAGCTTTCAGCTTCCACGTGACAAAGTTTGTTTCAACCATTCAACGTCTGTCCATATCTGTTCGCACTGTCAGTTTGATACTGACGGAAGTCAAAATCTATGCAAATTTAAATGCTGCCCACATTTGGTTAACCTTTATTTTGTTGCCAGTGGTCAGTTGACACTGGCGACCCTTGGGAAATTGGGTGCGGGTCACATTATTGCCGTCCTTAAAACTAGTTGAATACATATATTTGTCTTAGAGGAAGGATATAATCATATTTTCTTGTTTTTATAACTAAGTGAAACTATAAGAAGCCAAGACAAAGTTGATAGTTGGATTCGAGTGGACCTTAATCGAATACCTTTATAGATAATATCCCTTATACCTGTTAATATATAAATTTACAAAACTCACGCTATGTTCATTTATTGATTTCAATGAAAATATAAATGAAAAATTAACCTTTGCTTCATTAAGATATATTTTTATTATTATTTCATACTTTAGCCTCGCTGGAAATTCATGTTAATTTTTCAATTTTACATTTCTCTGTCATGCCACAGACATTTCACTTTGTGAGTTTAAGGTCCAACCTTAAATTTTGCATGTCACCTAAATGAAAACATATAAATTCCATTTCGTTATAATAGCCCCACATGTAAGCAAATGGTTTTAAACCCATATGTGAAGACCGTGTATAATTTAGCCAACGAACTCCATTTAATAAGTAGACTTTGTTGCTTTGCCCTTTGTATACACTTCGGTAAACTCTTTAATCGGCTTTTACTTGAAGTCCTTTATTAGCTCTCGGCCTTAGTTCAGCCTCGAGTTGATTAAATATGTGCGTAACCCAAAAATAAAACCTATTTTGTATCCAAAAAAGGATGCAGGCTGAGAAAAAGAGGAAAAAATAAACAAATATCGACTCATTGTTATCAGTTCAGGTTGCATTCAAAAGCTTGTGGCAACTACACATGAATGTTGGAGGTTGGTTAAAGGTGTTACCTAACAAGATACATCAGTTATGAGCAAGCAACTCATTTAACTTGATACAAACAGTACTTTATCAGCTCCAGGGAAGCGTAGCCCTGGAACATAACGACGGCGAGCGCAGTGCTGTGTAAATGGCCGGGTTGATAAAGGATTCATGCTGCAATCTGTAGACCATAAAATTCTTTTATGTTGCCTGTCGGAGCGCAGTACACAACTCATTTTAAGTAACGGACTTAATGGGATATTTGTGAAAAATATGAAATTGTGCGTTTTAAGGTCAACATTATTAAATTACACAATCAATTAGGTATTCGAAAGAGCAAGCTCAAATCTGTCGACAAATTATGTTGCTACGCTTTTATGGATACCATCGATTCGAATATTAGCCAACAATTTTGTCAGCCTAAGTCGTATAAATGTAAATAAAAGTAAGCTCATTTGTTAAGTCAAGTTCATGATCCCAAACTCAAAGTGTAAAGAAATTCAACGCAAAAGTGTAAAATTTATATTTTTGATCTAAACAATAGAATTTCTGTCAGCGGAACGCACAGGAATCTGAGCACCCAAGGGTCCTTTAAATTCACATATAGCAGACACTTTACGGCCCAGGTGGGCGGTTTTGTGTTGCTTGGACGTGTTCGCATGTGAAGCTCACGTCTACAATTCGAAAAGAAATATTGAAAATATTTATTAAAAATATATTTTTGAATGGCACATATTAAAATATAAAAAATTTGTAATAAACAGAAATGAGACATCAAAGTGGAAGTTTGTGAACTCATAATGGAAGTACTTATCTCAGTGCATGAAAAGAACAGCAATCATTTCCAGAAAATTCGTTTAATAGAAATATTGCGCATACGACTCGTGGCAACACGGCCCAACGAAAAGTAAAAGTTCACAGTACAAAAAATTTCTTGGCAAGGTAGTTACAAATATCTAATGCGATTTTTGTGTACTAAATTAATGGAAAAGAGCACAATAGAGTAAACCGACTTTGAAATTTGGGGCTAAACTTTATTCTAAGCCTATTATGTGTGCACACGCTTCCCTATACCCTTAGAGTGAATTGGGGGGAAAGAAGGTGGCATAAAGTGTGGAAGACTAGAAGCATTAAGTGTCCTTCTCTTAGTCTTCAGTTATGGCAAGCAGAAGTTGCTTATTTTAGAATTTGCTTCGGGCATTTGTTGCCAAAAAAAATATTATTACTGAAAACATTCATGAAATTCTGATGAGGGAAAGCATTGAATCCTTTTTGGTATGTATGTATACACATTTACAATTAATATCTTAACACTACAGGTCGTTTATATTATTGGTTTTTTGAACCCGCCTAAGCCATTTGTCCTGTCTGTTGCGTTTTCTTGAGAGCTCAGCATTTAATCTCGGAGCCCGGAGCACACTTTAAGCGGCTACCGTTAGCTTAGTTCAGCTGTGCAGAAGTTTTCAGGTGAATTCTTTTAATTGCCAGCCTCTTGGCGCTTTTGCACGCTCCCAACTTCATTCCTGAACAGCTCATTAAATATTTCAATTTACTGTTGCGCCCAAAGGGACTAGGTAAATTAAATGTTACGTCAGCTTTTTAAAAAATGCAAAATTGGCATAAATAAACTATAATTAAAGCTTAGTATATGGGTTACATAATTATCCTACTTTATATAAGTATAGATACAATTAATTTATTAGATATTCAGCTTAGCTCTCTTTCGCATTCAAAAGTAAAACACTGTTTTGCTACTAATTTTAGTAATTTATGTTGGCACTACAACGAAGTCAAAAGCAAAATTATGTTCTCTGCTTGTTGATGATTACATATGCATTGTAGTTTCTTGCTGCTTTATGTGCTTTGAGCCAGAGTTTTCAAAATTTTATGAAACTAGTCGCAGCATCATTTAATATTAAGGAGACATTTGAGTACTTATCTCCGCCTAATCATATGCCTGACATTTACAGCAGCGATTTGGTACAGAGTCCAATTAGATCCACCAATTAAATGGAGTCACAAGCATATACAATTCGAGATAATGGCAACAAAAGTCTAATCAGAGACAAGCAAAAAAAAAAAAAAGAATAAAAGTCAGGGAAGACAGAAAAACACATCTCGAGTTACACAAAGGAAACAAGATTTGCCATGGGCTCAAATATACACATACACGGTGTGAGAATGCGTGGTTGTAGGTATTAAATGTGATTGTAATAAATGTGAATGTTACCCATATGTGTTGTAAGTTGCCGCCCCTGGCATTCGGCTTAGGCCGCAAGCCTTAGAAATTTTATTAACTTCTTCTTCTTTTGATTATTTAATTATTTTCCCTTGATTTAGCCCGAAGTGTGCCGACCACAAAAGGCGTGAGCTGAAACGTAATTAAAGGTTGGCAAAGTTCGTGTGGATAAAATCCTAAAATGATCATAGTTCAGATAAGGCACCACTTTCACTGTCACTTTGTCTGTTTATTTTCTGAATATTATCCGGTTAATATCGGGTATAATGCTCGACCTAACCGCGCGAGTGTGCGTTATCAACTGTGCAACAGAGTTCGTCTTCTGTTTTTATCAGCCGTGCAGCGCAGGCCCGAGTTGCGAAAACGACGACAGGATGCGTGTACGACAAGCAAAAGGAATATAACTGCAAATGGCAACTCAAGCTGCCGCCACTTCAAGCCAAAATACAACAAGTTGCAGAGCAACTTGTTTGCCACACGAACATGTTGCAGTTGCGTTTGCGACTACTTTGCTCCCGTCAATGTGTTTTTTTGACATTTTTCAATTTCTTAACCCAACAAAACCTATTAATAACATATTTTCAGCAAAATAAGCAAAATTATAATTACCTTTCTGTAATATATATTGTTGACCTTAAAGCCAGTCAAGCGAGTGTATTTAAATTTGCTACAGATATCTTAAAGGTCCGGTTATATTATGCTTTTTAAGCTCATCATTCATCATTTCAATTTTTTTTTGATTGGCTGTCAATTATATTTTGTCAGAAATAAGACATTTACTGCGCAAATATTTTAAAGAATTGGTATTGCAAAGTGGCACTAAGTCAGGCCACTGCTAAGTGTTTTCGGCTTAGGATTTTTCGCCTGAATATTTATATCCAGTAGAGAAGTATTTTGCTCATATAATTGGCATGAGCCAAAACACATTTTATGCAAACTCTAAATACCTGGAAAGGGCACTCAACTGTGAGTAAGTAAGTAAGAGCTTTTTACTAAGAAATACTCTATGCTGATGAAAGGAAAATGTTGAAAATTCATACATTGATGCAGACTTCTCCCTTATATCTAAAAACTTAACTCTATATTATGTTAATTTATTCACTCAGAAAGCACATGAGCCTTTCCACAACTAACAAGGTAAACATCATTAGAAATGTATAGAATAATTCACAGGTCAACGAAATGAAGCGGATATGTGGTCGAACGTTTGGAAATTATGAAAACAGTTCACGTTTGGGTTAAGCCACATCATTAAAACATGAAAAGGAAAGTTAACCATGACAACTGGTATAAATGCTGGTAGAACTGTTACCGAACTAAAACTTAAGTCCTCTTGGAATTCAGTTGCTCTTATGTAGTTGATTCAGCGTATACTTGCCATTTCAGCATCCTTGGCAATCATTTCATTGACTGTTATCCCAATTCTAAAAACAGACGCTTTTACTCCGACTATATTTATATTTCAGAAATATTTTAATTGTTATTCCATTCTTATGTTGTTCTTTTCTTACTTAGTTTGGTGCCTCAACAATGCAAATAGCT